CCTTGGAGAAGTTGCCCTCTCCTCCTTTCTTCAGGAATACCCTTCCTCTGGCTGCATATGGAGTGAAGAAGAATTCCTGCAAAGACAGAATGACATGGGGAAGAGAACGGAGGAGAGGAAGGATCCTGTGCCACGCACTCCCTCATTTCGTCCTATGCATTTTCTGCATTTGGCAAAGAAAGCAATGGAGACACAGAGTGATTGAGAAAATTTGTTTAGGATGAAATAGCTATACAAGTGTGATCGGAAGGAGGGAAGTAAGGGGAGAGTAGACCCACCTGCAGCCACGGAGACATTCAAGGACTCCAGTCCGGGAGGCAGCTGCCGGCCGGGCAGGATGGTGAGGAGGAGCTGGCAGGAGGCCTGTACCTCCGGGGACAGGCCAGAGCCCTCATTCCCTGAAGGACACAGGCCAGAGGATTAGGGATGCCATGGCTGGACATGCAGGCGCTCAGGAAGTGCAATGTCTGAAGACAGAAAAGCAGGGACATCTACCTACCCAGCACTAGCAGAGTAGGCCGGTCCCAGAGGAACTCCAGGCAGCTGGTGATGGGGACCTCAGAGGATGGGGGAATCTCGGGCCCGGGGCAGCCCACTGTGCCAGCCACGAGCCAGCCCTGCCGGGCTTTGGCCTGAGAAGGAAAAGAAGAACTCATACTCCAGCTCACCAAACCTTCACCAGAGTCCTGGCCAAGGCGGGCCCACCATTGCCCGTATGCAGGTGGGACAAAAGCAGGTTTACAGTTGTGAGACCACAAAACACAGAGTTTGTTCTTGTGTTATTATTTACTATTATTATTATTTCCTATATGAACAATTGTAAGCCTACTTTTGCCGGACCCTGTGTTCATTCCCTCCCTGAGCCATTTGATTTGGTCAAGTTATTAAGCACCTAGAATGGGTGGGTTCTGTTCTAGGCACTGAAAACAGGCAGTGAACAAAAGAGGCCCAAACCGCAGCCTGGTGGAAGGGTGGCCGTGAGTGTGGTCCAGAAGGAGATGAGGAAGTACTGTGTGGACGGCTGGGGGGAGAACATTCTAGGCCGGGATCAGTAAGTGCAAAGGCTAAGAGGTGGCTGCTTACCTGGCACTGTGAGGAACAGAAGGACAGCAAGGTGGCCAGTGGGAAGGGGGCCATGGAGACAGGAGAGGGAACAGAGGGTTACTGAAGGGAGAAGCTCAAAGGGCACCGGGAGGACTTTGGCTTATAGTCTGAGATAAATGCAAAGGCTTTGAGAGGTTCTGAGCAGAGAAGTAACAGGGTCTCCCTCTGCCTGCTGTGTTGAGAGCAAATCACAGAAGCAAGACCAGTTAGGAGGTTTCCGCCGTAATACGGGCAAGAGATGATGGTGGCTTGGACCAGAGTGGCAGCAGGAGAGACAGTAAGAAATGGTGACAGCCCTGGCTGGTGTGGCCCAGTGGACTGAGCCACACCAGCTGGTTATAGGTTCAATTCCCAGTCAGGGCACATGCCTGGGTTGCAGGCCGGTTTCCCAGTAGGGGGCACATGAGAAGCAGCCAATATTGATGTTTCTCTCCTTTTCTTCTTCCCCCTCCCTTTCCCTCTGTCTAAAAATAAATAAATACAATCTTTAAAAATAAGAAATGGTGAGAATATGGAAACAACTTTATGGTAAAACCGAAAGGATGCACGGACAGCTGGGAATGGGTGTGAGAGCAGGAAGAATCAAGGTTTCTGGCCTAACCAACGGAAAGGACAGAGGTGCCACAGACTGAGCTGGGTGTACAGGAGGAACAGGTACTTGGCTATGGAAATGTTCAGTTCAGTTTGAAATGCCCAGCCAAAGAGAGCTTTAAAAAAACAAAAACCATTTGAAATGCTTTTATTTATTTATACTGGAATCACTCTGGGTTGAGGACATTTAACATCTTTGTAAAATTCTATCAATTATAATTTACCTTGCTTTTTTGACAACAGTGTTGCTAGGTTTTGGGGTTTTAAAAAAAGATTTTATTTATTTGCTTTAGAGAGAAGAGAAGAGGAGGGGAGGGGAGGGGAGGGGAGGGGAGGAGAGGAGAGGAGAGGAGAGGAGAGGAGAGGAGAGGAGAGGAGAGGAGAGGGAGAGGAGAGGAGAGGAGAGAGGAGAGGAGAGGAGAGGAGAGGAGAGGAGAGGAGAGGAGAGGAGAGGAGAGGAAAGGAGAGGAGAGAAGGAAAAAGAGAGGGAAACATCAGTGTCTGAGAGATACATGATTGGTTGCCTCTCTCACGCCTCCAACTGGGGACCTGGCTTGCAACCCAGGCATATGCTTTGACTGGGAATCGAACTAGCAGCCTTTCAGTTGGCAAGCCAGAGCTCAATCCACTGAACCACACCAGGAAGGGCCAATGTTGCTAGTTGTTTTAAAAGAAAGCTGTTGAAAAGGGAACTAGATGTATGAATCTGGGGTTTAGGAGTAAGATCTAGGCTAGAACATACATTTGGGAGGATTGCAAATATAGATGCTACTTAAAGCCATGAGAGTGGATGAGACCCCCCCCACACACCTCTCCCTCAAAAAAAAAAAAAAAAAGGTATATTCAGAAAAGAGATCCAAGGACTTAAACTTGGGAGGCAGGGGAGCTGCCAAACGCAGGGCAATACTGCCCTCTCGTGTCCAGCAAGAGAGGCACAGCAGAAGGTTTTTCTACTAAGGTTTGACCCCCAAATTTTTCTTTTCTTTTATTTGGAGGGGGAGGGCGGGGCGTTATTTTGTGTGTATAAGAGGGAAGAAGGGAAAGGCATAGACTAGTCCTTATTCAAAAAGCCTTTCAAGCTGTGCCCCTACTGGAGGAACCCAGAAAGAACACCTGTCCAGCAGCTCCTCCCAGCTAAGCATTTACTGAAGACCTACTTGGTAGGTAACGAGGCACCATGGTAGACTTGCAGCGGGAGCAACGAGGTATGCTTGGGGAAGGAGTGCAGTAAAGGGGATGGTGCCAGGAGTCTCTGACTTCAGATTCTGCTCCACTGGTGCCTTCTCTCTTCCCAAAGGGATTTAGAGAGACAGAAAGTGATGTCAACATGCTCTCTTCCCCTTCCTCCCTGAAAGAATGAGCTTGGCTCATTTTTGCTCTCTCACGCACCCCGTACCCCCACCCCAGATCCTTACCTGTAAAAAGCCGCCCAGGTCATCAGTGAAGAAGATGTCCATCACCTCCATAGCCCCCGCACTGGCCTTGCTGACTACCGGAGTGAGCGGGCAGCTGCAAAATTACCCCATGCCCCGTATAAAGCTGTGTCATCTCAAACCCAGTGCCCTCCCCTCCGCTGGCCCCTCAGGGTTAGGCATGAGAATTCTGGCGATAGGGAGGCCTGCCTGAGGGATCACCAAAGGGTCAAGGGACTCGACCCTTAGGAACTCGGTTGTGCCTCGAAATGGGAGCACATGGGAAATAAAGAATGTCCGTGCCTGTTTCTCCGGCTGGTGATGACCTTATCCACGCCGAGGAAATGAGCAGAGCGCAGCACCGCCCCAAGGTTCCGAGGATCCTGGAGCTCCTCCAGCACGAGCCACAGCTGCCGGGGGTCATTTCCTGGCCTGGCCTCTCCAGCCTCCGTCCAGGGCCGGGGCCGCAGCGGGCTCACCTCCAGGCAGACGCCCTGGTGGACCTGGTGGCGGCACAGGGCATCCAGCTTCTGCCGTCTGGGCCGCAGAACTGGAATGTCCCGTGCTTCAGCCACACGGAGCAGCTCGGCACGCTCTCCTTGCAGCCCAGACCTGCCGGCCTGCAGTAAGAGCCGGGACACCCGGCGGCGGGCGGCCCGCAGAGCCAGAAGACACGGGGACAGGCCAAACAGAAGTTCCAGGCCGCTGGCGGACCGCGGGATAGGCGCCAAATCATCCAGCAGCAGGCGCCTTAGCTCCTCTCCACCCGGCCGCTCACCACGCCAAGTTTGGGAGAAATGACGTGCGAGGTGACCGGAGCAGCGCCAGGTCGCGCACCCGAACGCCGACAGCAGCGCTGTGGTCGATGACCCCTGCAGCATTCTCAGGAGCTGTCACTCCAGACCAGGACTGCTGCCAGACCCCGAACACAGGTTAAGGGGCCTCCATGGCTGCACCTACGCCGCCTCCTCAGACAGAGAAACGATCAACCCAGCCTCCTAGCTCGAAAATTGTCCAAAACCAGGTAGCCCAACCGTGACAGCCCCCTTCCCTATCCCCACGTGGGGTACTCCGCTTCCGGGTTGAGACCCCGCCCCCTGCCCAGTGACGCACCGCGCACGCTCGGCCGCCTGGACGTCCCTACAGCACCGCCTGCAGGGCGGGTTAAGCAGTGACCTCCACCACACTGCAACTCGTGGAATGCAGTGGTCAGCACGGAGCTGACTACGCTACAGGCTTCGTTCTGCGCCCGTGGAGGTCCCGGGAGGCTGAAGCGTGGCATGTACCCAGGCACCAGCAAAGAAGATTTTAAGGGGACGTGTTCCACCAGGTCAGTCGTGCCTTCCTCCCCACTGGATGCTGGTGGTTTTCCTCAGAAGCTTCTCCTGCATCCAGGCCCTCCTCTGCACTTCCACTGCCTTCTCAAATCCTCAACACCAGTTATCAGGACCCAGCAATAACTTCCTATCTTGTAGCGGCTGGTTCTCTAAGTGACAGCTCTGTGCCTGTCCTGCGGCTGCTGCCAAGCAAGCCAACGGATGCCCCTGGCCCACAGGTAATGAATGGCCAGACTCCTTGTTCAGCACTCAGACCCCCAGGGATCCAGCCCCACCTCGCTCCTGCACCAAGTTCTGTTCCCACAGAACGGTTCCCACAACACTGCATGCTTTCGGGCCTCTGGGCCTTGCACATCTTGTCTCCTTTTCTGGCTGGCAAACTCCTACCCATTTTCAAGACTCAACCCAAAACCACACCTGCTACCTAAGGTAATCCACACTCCAGGAGTAAGGCTCTAAATTCACCCACTTTCCACTCACTTGGAAGAAATTGAGACACAACCACCCCTGATCACAGAGAAAGGAGAAGAACTGAAAGACACCCATGAAGCCAAGGTCGGTTGTTGCAGTTTTTCTTTTTTAATTATCACACTGAAATCCACTTGGGAAGTGGGTCCTGGTATTGTGCTGCAGCAGAGTAAAGTGATGACACCCTCACCCTCAGGGGCCAAGAAGCCACAGTTGGGCTGGAGAACTGGGACAGGTAAGGGAAGGAATAGAGGGGGCAGTGGGGTGGGGAGGGAAGGAAGCTGGAGCCCTCATAACCACTCAGATAAAAGGTGAGGGGTTCTCTCTGCCACCTCATCCCTGAAACACAGAGGGTGGAGTGCAAGAAGAGAGGGGGAAGCCACCTTTATGGCCCAAGTCCCTTCCCCAGGTCAAAGGTAAAAGACCATGGGCAGCAGACAAAGGCCAAGGAGCCCAGGAAGAGGACCAAGAATCAGTTAACAGGTGAAACAGTTAGGGACACTGCCTCCTCTCCCCAGCCCACTTTTCATATTTGTGGTAGGAACAATTTGACAAGATAAAGAGACCTCAAACAAATTTTCAAATCCCTGGTCGGAATGGAGAGAGGAAGTTGAATCCAGGAATCCAGGAATGAACACCTATAATCCAGAGGCCGGCACCAAGGGCGAGGGTCGGGAGGGAAGGAGGAATCCCCACAGGAAACTAGGCCACCTGCTCTGTGGGCCTCATCTGGATGTCTCCGATCTGCAGAAGGCACAAAGGCTTGAGGCAGCCAGGACACACTGCCCAGCCCCTTAAGGCTTCCCTGCTCACCTCCTCTGGGGATGACTGGGCTTCTCCATGGGGTGGACAGCCAAGGCCAGACTTACCTGGACATGTGGGGGGGCGCTGAGGACATAGAGGACAGCCTCGGCCACATCTTCGGGTTTGAGACACTGACAGCACCGGGGAAGGGGAGTTGAGATGAGGACAGAATGGATGCAAGCTCCCTCCCACCACTGAGGTCCTCTCCAGCATCCACATCCCACCCCAACCCTCCAGGAAGGGTGACGGGCTAGAGAGAAGGATGGGGTCTGAAGGCCAGGGTTCCCTTCCTTCTGCCTTCACTTAGAGTGGCTCCGCCAAGCCCAGAGGGAGGCCCCACCTTTATGTGTTCATAGGTGGCAGCTGCCTTCTCAGGGTCCTTGTCATGGAGTCTGAAGGCGAATTGTGTCTCCACGAATCCTGGAGAGATGCACTGGGCCAACAGAGAGGGCTCAGGAGCTGAGCTTTGTCCCCCGCCCCCCTAATCAGACATCGGGCCTTGGGGAGGTTGGAGGGAAAGGATGGAGGCCACTGGGACGCAGCTTCACAGGGACGGCTGCCCCGTGTCCAGCAGCTGCCTCCTCTCTCCAAAGCTGCCACTGGCGATGATCACAATGATATTTACCATCTACAGAACCCTTACTATGAGCCAGGTAAATGTTTTACAAAATATTGTCTCTTAAAAAAACCTCACAACCTGATAGATTATCATCATCTCTGTTTTACAAATGAGAAGACTGAGGCTTGGAGTGGTTGAGTAAGCTGCCCAAGGTCATTTGGCCTTTAATGGAAGAGCCCAGAGTTCTGGTTTCCAGCCACTGTGCACCTGGTTTCCCACAATCCCTTGCTTTCCCTCAGTTCCATCCCACTGAATTCCATTCAGGCCAGTGAAGGGGAAACTCAAGCACTGAGCAGGGCTGTGCAAGTAGCAGCAGAGCCCAGGAGCTCTGTGCCCAGCAAGCTTCCAGGGGTTCTAAGCAGCACACCCTGGACGTATGCCCCTTGGCCATTATGTGTAGGGGGTGGAGAGGGTCTGTGCCTATCCCATCCCCACCAAGGCCAGGCCACACCCTCACCGTGGCGCGGATGTGGGTCTGGGCCTCCCGAAGCTCTTGCCTCAGTCCCTCTGTCAGTGCAGTGACGGCATACTTGGTGGCACTATAGAAATGGGTCACAGACTGGGGTACCACTCGGTGGCCAGACATGCTGGGTAGAGGGAGGAAAGGGGAAAGAAGAGAGTGACGTTCCTGAGAGACCTGCAGTGCCCCCTGATGTTCCAGTCAACCCCACTACCTGGATGCTGCAGGGAAGGCTTCTAAAGGGGGCCTCTGGGGGCCATCCTTGTGGCCCACTAACCTAGCTCCTATTATTCAAGTGGCTCCTGAGACCCCACTCTTCTAGAAGTCTTCCCCACGCTGACCCCAGAATCCACGCTTTTGGTCATGCAATTGTCAAAAATCTCTCTGTTTCATCCGCGCATTCACTGGTAATCTCTGAGGGCAGAGGCCAGGTCTCCCCGCTCAGAGTGGGGCTCCCTGATGATGCTGTGTAGTCTTTGCACCACCAGGTGGGATTCATTCCAGGGCCTGAGGAATGGCGAACCTCAGTACTGGGAGAGCCCCCAGGCTTCAGCTGCAAAGACAAGGGGCTAAGCTACCCATTCCAGCCAAGTAGGGGTTGGTACACAACTTCTTCCCTTGCTATAACCATACTAATGAGTGTTAACTGAATATTAAATCCCCATTTTATCCAAAAAAAACAGGTCCAAGGAGGTCAAATGAGCTGCAGCAGATTGCACAGCTTGGAGGGTGAGCGGTGGTCTGCACTCTAGCCCTCAGCCACTGGTCTCACCTGTTGATGTTAATGATGTGCCCATCGTCCACCTTCCGCTCCTGCATGGACTGGTAGGCTTCCCGAGTGCAGATGCTGAGGGCCAGCACGTTCACCTGCAGGCCAGGGAGGGCAATGGGGTGTCTCCAGCTTGGGCCCACCTGAGCAGGTGATGGAGCCAGAGAACACCTGGGGGATTCCAAAACTGGGTCTAGGTCCTACCAGAAACCAACAGTGGGCCCAGGGTACCTTGCCTTAGGTATCTCTCCCCTAAAGCCACCAGCCCCAGCTGAAAGCAGAGGTAGCTTCTCTCCCTGGCTGACTCACAAGTTCCTGCAAACCAGAATGAAAATCCTAAGCCCCACCACGACCCAGGAAACCTCTCGCCGGCTCCTCTGGACACAGTAGAACCTCTGCCTTAGGGAACCACCTCCTTTTCTTCCCCTAATACCCTACTCTTCTCTGGGACAGGTCCAGCTTTCTCCTAAACATCCTAAAACGGCTTTTAAAATCTCCTTCCTCAAGCAAATGGTAGCCCCTCCCCACCTCATCCAGCTATTCTCCTCTCCTTTCTTGCCCCCTCCCTTGAGACTACCAGTGAAGAAGGCCTGACCCTCCCTTTAACTTCAGTTCCATCTATAGGAAGAGGCACAGAGACTCTTAAGAGGGTGGGGTAACTGTCACAGGAAGGCAGGGGACCTCCCAAGGGCATGGGGACCTCCTGCCTTCCTTGGCCCCTCCCTGCCCACTCCAGTGGAGGTGACCACAAGTACCCCCACCCTTCATGGAACAGAGGCCTGAAGAAGTGTCTCCGCTCAAAAGCTCCTGTCCAGCCCCACCCCTTAGCTTTACCCAGGGGCAAAAGCAGAGATAAAGCCTTCAGCAGGTCCTCCTGTCTCGCCTCTCCAGAAGAGAGGGGCCCAGCTGGGAGATTAGATGCTTCTCTATATCAGGTGTCAGAGCCAGGCATCAGGACAGAATACTCTCAGCGTGAGCCTGCCTCAGCCGTCACAACACGAGGACACGGGAGGCTTTCAGCCCTGTTTCTGGCCCTTTTAGCAGTGTGGGTTGGCGGGGCAGAGAACTCAGCTGCAGAGGACAGGAGTCGGAGAGGCAGATTCCTTGGGGTCAGGGGAGTCAGTCTCCTATTCCTGGGAAGTTGGGGGGGAGTGGAGAAGATGCCTCAAGGATGATCCTAATAGAATTACCAGCTGAAAGGGGCCTTAGGGATTTAAGTCCCTGCCTTTATAGATGGGCACATTGAGAGCCTACTGCAGGTGAGGATCACAACTCCCAATCTCCCAGAAGGGTCTGTGAGGGCAGGAAGGGTGCTTTACTTCCACTTTCATTGTTTCAATGTTCACTGTTCATTTTCAGGCCCAAGCACCTGGTAGGTACTAAAGCTACCATGAGCGGATATGAAAAGAGCTGTGGAGGGGGAGACACATCCCATTTACACACTGCTGACAACTTCTCAGAATACTTTCATACCCTGACGTGCCCCCTAATTAAGAGTACAGAAGTTGGAAACCCATGTCCTGCAGGCTGTGTTTGGGTCACATGTAGTTTTAGAGCATTTTAAATTCATTTCCAACATGTATTGAAACATGTAAAGCCTGGGCTTTAAGAGCTACACCCAGTGGCTACAAGGAAAGAAGAATGGAAAAGATATGGCCATTCACCCACTCACTATCCCTCCGGTAGAGAAAGAGGCAAGGATTCAGTCACGGTGCCCCAGGTAGGAGCCCAAAGCTCCCTCTTGCCAGATGTCCTATCCAGAGCAGTGCTCTGGTCCCTGAACCCCTGGCCCCCTGCTGTCCTCCCAACCCCTCGCCAGGTCCTCAGCCCTTACATTGAACATGTCCTTCCAACCGCTGGTGCTGCCTGAGAGCAGGGGGTCAGGCCGAGCCAAACCAGCGTTGTTGATGCAGATGTCCACACCGTTGTGCTGAGAGCGGACAGCCGAGAACATGGAGAGGATGTCCTCTTCATTTGACAGGTCACATCTGTAGGGGATCAAAGTCCCGGGGTAGCCTGCACTCTTACATTCAGCAGCCAGCTCCTACAAAACCCAACAGGGATCTAACTGGGGTGAGCTGCTCACTCCCACACACCCCCAGCCAGAGACAACCTCCCTCCTTTGGGGGTCACTTTTTGATCACATTGATGTTGGGACTGCCCGATCCCCAAAGCTTGTTTTCTTTGGTCAAAATCCAGGGGATGAGAGCACCCCCTGAGTGAGGGAGGGGAAAGCTGAGGTTATCAATGGAGGAACCTCACTGATAAACAATAAACGGGAGTCTTCGGTTCTAAGGAGAAAGAAGGGCTGGAGCTCTGAGGGGGCCAAGGAAGGGGGTCGAGGATCCTGGGAATGGAGTGAGAGTTCTTTCCTGCCTCTCCCTCCACAGGAAAACCTCTGCTCATAGGTCAGATGCACCTCTCATCCCACCCCATTCTTCTGGCAGTGCTGAGAGCCACTGAGCTGGTGATGCCAGGGCTTTGGTCTCTTCTCTCCCGTCACCTCAACCAGAAGGGCTTATATCTGAACCATCACCTCCCCTCCAGAAATTGCAGCCAGTGGCTCAGAGTTCTCATACACACACTTTTCAGTCGAGCCCAACTGCCAATTTCCCTTTGCCCTACCTACAGGAAGGGTCAGGAAGTCAGGACAGATTCTTTCTCTGTCCCATGGGGCATCACTCTCCACCCCAAAGCATCTCTGTAGACTATGAGGCAGGTGGCATTGGCACCCCTGTGCACTGCCCTCAACACACTGAGAAGCCCTGAGAGAGAGAAAGATGTGAGAAAGCAGAGCCGCTGAGAGATGGCTGTGAGGAGAGCTGACATCAGAAGCAGGAAGAAACAAGCTATGTGGCCTTGGGGGCCAGTGACTGAGCACCTGAGTCTCATGAAGGTGATTACGTACAAGTGTGAGAGGGAAGGGGTGTAGGGCATGGAGTGTGGAGTGCCCTAGAGGGAAGCCAGCTTGGCCAGCTGCTCTGGCCTGCAGTGTCCCTTCCCTTGAACCTAGCTGGGAATAAATGGCAAGATCAGGTGAGCTAGGAAATTCTTTTCTGCTTTAACTTTCCAAGTTTAAAATGTATAGTCCTCTGGGACTCAGAAGCTCCCCTTTCACTCAGTTTTACCTACTCACAACCACCTTAGGAAACAGGGCTTCTCTCTGTAAGAGGCTGTTAAGAACTCAGAGCTGTTTTACTATCAACGAGTTCATCAATAAAAGCAGACTGTGGGCAAGGAAACCTGGAATTCTCCCCACATGGCCGACAACTTTTCCCCTTCCTCCTCCAGATTCAAAGCCCCCACAGGAAAGCCAGAACAAAGGGCCTGAGAGTATAGTTCTCCCTGTCACTGCCTTCTCATTGCCTCATCCATCCTCCTCTGTCCTCAAAAATGACCTCACATTATGTCAGTCCCCTCACAGCGAAGGCATTCTCCCCTCATTAAAGGAGTCAGCATGTGGCTAAGTGATCAGCTTGGAGATTCTCCTTGAAGCTCAGGGACCCCCCTTCCTGGCTAGTTTGGGGCCAGGGAGTAGAAAGAGAAGGTGAGAGTAGCTTTAGAATTAGAGTATCCTTGACCTATCCTCTAGGCGCCAAAGCTCCTGAGCTCCAGGAGAAAGGGAGGTGCAGAGTGGGGCAGTGGTATAACCAGGTGACCTTGAGACTATCTAGGAGGCAATAAAGTACACCTTTGGTCAGCAGCAGGGGAGGGGACAGCTCTCCTTGTAAACCTTCTCCCTCTGCCCCTGCACAAGGCCTCTTTACCCTTTCCCTGCCAGGGGTATTGAGCAATAGTGGAGATAATGCTGGGCAGCTAGGCACTAGCCCAACCCCTGAGAGTGATCTTGCTCAGCAAATCCAGTGAACTATGAGTGAAATTTCTCCTCTTCTTCGTCTATGCTCCAACATGGCCAGTTTTGTTTCATTTGCCTCCGACCTCCTGTTGTTTACAACTCTTCTCCCAACCCCACCTTCTTTAACAGAAAAACCAGGAGTTCCAATTGCTCTGTCCCCTCAAGGGCTCACATGATCAGTGCCGTATTTCAACTACTCAGTCCCACCCAGGACAGTGCAGCTGGAGAAAGGTCTACCTGTGAATATCCCATTGTCAGTCCTTTATGCCCATTGAGTAGAGAGTTAAATCTCAGATTTGGGGGAGGAAGGTAGCCATCCCCCCCGCCACACCCCCCCCCCCCCCCCGCAGAAAGCTCTACTCCCGCCTCAACCGCAACCTCAGACCAGGGTGAAAAATAATCATCAGAACCTCTAGCTCCTGCTCATCTGGCTGGCCAGCCACTTTGCTCGACTTTGTTGGCTGTTTGGAGTCCAGAGGAAGCAACCAGTAGCTAACAGCCACTGCGATCGGAAAGTATTCTTTCCCTCTCCCTGGCTGCCTAGCTAGCCCCTGATCTCTGGTTCCCCTTTCCTCAGCCTACCTGAGCAAGCAGGTAGGAGAGAGGGAGAAAGAGGCCAGAGACTTGGTACAATGAGGTAGGGGCTGTCAGGAGAAAAGGCTCCTTAAAAAAACGATACTTAAAAAAGCGAAGGTAGAGCCTGCCCTTAGGGATCCAAGAAGCCTCCCCTACTAATGCATTCACACCTCCGGTCTCTAATCCCTTTGTAAATGGCCGTGGGGTGGCTGGCTAAGGAGGTCCGCGTCATAGCGAGACTCAGGCCACTCTGCCTTTCTCACCTGGGCCCTGGCCTCCCGCCTCCCAAAGCGGTCAGTTCCCGGCCAGGCCTTACCTCGATGTTGTCCACGGTGCGGGCACAACCCACCACCTTCAGTCCCTGCTGGACCAGGGCCCGAGCCACGGCCGCGCCGATGCCCCCCGAGGCTCCAGTCACGAGAGCCAGCCGATCACGCCACCGCTCCATGCCGGCTCTGGCCATGGTCCCGAGCCGCCCGCCCGCCTCGCTCCGGGAGCTGGGCACTAGGATAGCGGAGCTCCGCCCCAGGTCGCAAGGGCTTGGCCGCTCTCTCACCGCCGCGGCAGCCTCCGCCGCCCGGCCCCCTTCAGAGCCGCGCCTGGGTCCGCCTCCAACTTGGCCGGCCTGCGGCCGAGACTCCACCCTCCTGTCCTCGGTGACCCGCCACATCCTGCCGGAGGGCGGTGGCAGCCAGGCGTCCCGCCCACCGCGCAGGCTGCGCGCACATGCCCCGCCCCTTCCGGCTCCGCCTCACCCCGGGCGCGAGGAAACTGTCTTCACTGCCGTAGGGACGGTGCGAGAGGGTCCTGGGAACTTGGGACCCAGGTACGCTGTTCCTGGTACGCTGTTCCTGTGGTACGCTGTTCTCCTTGGGGCAGGCAACTCGATGTTTAGCAGGGGTTTGTTCCAGGACCGAGGTTGTATGTACCTTCGCCTCTTGCCCAGTAGCCTTTTCCTGTTCCTGACCCAAGACCAGGAAGGGAAATTAAGGGCACTTAAGGTGATTCCAACGCCCTACTAAGCCAACCGGTGGCTGACGGGAAGGATTCAGCCCAAAGACTGGGTGACCTTGGGACCAGGTAGAGATCTGCCCTACTAGGCATCCACAACCTCCTGCCCTTACCAAGAAGTGATGGTTAAAAATTGAGACACCTCCAAGTGCACGTGTAGTGGGGAATTCTATTCCAATGTACCTCCTCCAACTACACTAGAGCCTCTCGCTCTCATTGCAGCACATATATCACGGTGTATATACCAAAGATGAAAGCAATAGCTAACATTTATTGAGCACTTACAGCGTGACAGGCACCTTTAAGCACTTTAAATATATTAATATGCAGAACAGTCCTGTGAGATAGTACCCATCAATACCTTCATTTTATAGATAACTAAGAAAGGGTTTGTAAAGCTTGGTTTGGACTACAGGGAGTTCAGTCTCAGACCAGGGGATGTGCTCCTAAAATGCCTTCACTCCATTCTCCCTTTTGTCTCTGCATGGGTTGTAGGCTTTGCTCACTTTCCTTTGACCACTTAGGATACATTTCATCAAAGCACTAAAACCTTCCTTACTTCTGCATTCTTAGTGTAGCCATCTTCCCAAAGAAACAGTATCTCTGTGTAACTAGGAATCCCTCCAACGCAAGCAACAGAATAAGCAGTAAATGTGGCTGGCTTATTCATTCAACAAGCACTCAAGTTTGGCCCTAAAGGCAAAGATAAAAAACAAAACCAGCCCTTGCTTTCAGGGATCTCAAGAGAAAACTTGACTGCAACAGGTGGTGGAGAGGGGCCTGAGCTTCAACAAGGCCCTTGGTCAATTTTTATGGATTCCAAGATGAAAGCAACAAAGGTAGAGAGGAATCCCTATACAACATTTAAGATTTAAAAAGACAACTTAAGAAGTGGATCAAAGAAATGCCACCAACTACACAAATTAAATCTCACTAAGCTTCAGATGTTGCCCACTTGAAGTCTGATTAGGCAGTAGAAAAAGCCCATGAAATTCACATCTTCACTTGTACCGAGGTACTGACAGTCCCACCACTTGTCTGCTGCCCACCAAGTACTATCAACATGCAGACACAAAGCTCTAAGAATGTGTTTATCAAACTATTGACTCAACCATTTAAATGGCAGCCTAATGCTACCCCTAGGGGATTCTCTCCTTCAGTCCTCACACGCAGTCACCTGGAATGCCATAGTGACTTTATTGTTGGAAAGCAGGTAAGAACATGCCCTTCCCCAGACCCCAGTGTGGTGAGCTTTCAGTGCAGCTTTCTGATCCCAGTTCTACCCACTAATTACTTATCAGGCAACCCTTGAAACTCTGCCAAGTTTTGTTTTCATTCTTCTAGTTCAATACAAACCTCTCAGTTTAAAGAACTTTCAATAATAGCAATTAAATGAGAAAGATGCTAGCCAGTATTTAATAGTATTGCAGCAAATTTATTCTATCAAACCAAAAGACCAGAAACTTCTGTTCTCGACTGTCAATTCTGATCAAGGTAAGATTTTTGTCTTCAACAATCAGTATCTGCATCCTTATTTGCTCTTCATCCTCTCGAACACCGACACTGGCCAAGTACCAAGTCCACAAGTGCTAAATATTAAAATACTGCCATACATGAAGTAGAAACATGTACACCAAATTTTACTGTGCGTATTAATAAATATTCTTTATTTAAATTTTGCACATTGCGCTTTTAACATTACATCCAAACATTTCGCAAGTGGATGTCTACTTCGTAAAACCATATATTCAGCTCATTGTCATTTCTGTACAGAAGTATAAGTACAACATTACTTTTTGCCACTAAGTTGCTTTAGTAAGTCTCACAGGAAGAGAAACATTTACTGAAAAGAGATGGCTTAAATCATATGGCAGGCCTGCGCAGCCACGCAACTAAAGACACAAGCCTGAAGAAAGAACAAACTAATGAGGTTACCTCCACCATCTCCCAAAACAAGAAAGAATCACATTGATTTTAGATAAAAATTTGCCGTAAGTCACTAAATTAAGAGGTTTTTTGAAATAGAAGGCGCAGTAGTCATCTTGAGTGTTTCATTGAAAGACAGCTATTTTATTTACTTAATTTGCTCCAGCTGTTGTCAACCAGCCACTACAAATGGGCCTCTTGTGATCATTTAAGCGGCAGTATTTATTAAATTTCTCCTTCAGATGCTGTCGGTATTGTTCTCTATTGCTGTAGAAAGACTGGTTATTAGCCATAAATGACTGTATTTCATCTTGTGAGATAAAGATTTCCTCATCTGAAGTACATTCAGACTCATCCTGCAAATTAAAGCAGAAGGTAAGACTACGACTTAAATTAAGAATGGAAAATGCTATGCTGATGGAGGACAGCTAAATATTAAGGCAGTCTAGCTTTTTAATTTCAATTCAGTAAAATAAAGCCTTTAACTGAAATGTTTACAGAGTAAGCATAATATCACCCTATATTAGAAAGTACTAAATGAGAATAAAATCCAGCTCAACTCGGTCTGAAACTATGGATCTATCATTTGTCCCAGAAGCTTTTGAGCCTAGCTGATGCTAACATACCTTCTTTCTGCCTTAAAAGATGAAGAACTGGAGATGGTTACAACTAATTACCAAATTTTAAATAACCAGACTTATCTCTGGCTGATCCTCAGTTGAAACTTTTATTTCTACACATTAAGTAAAATATGACCTTTTTTTAACTTGTAAGTTACACATCATTTATAACCATACAAAAAAGACTAGTATCCTAAAGAATGTGGTTCTAGTAGGATCCTTATTACTATAAAAAAGACACCGTCCTTCTTCCTTCCCCCTTTCCCAAACCTCATACCACAATGTACTGGGTCACTTAGAATCTGGTATATACACTTCATCTCCAGTATCAACAACTGGAATCAACTATGAAAGGTTTTCCAAGTTCAGTTACACTTTTATGCTGCATGACACCTACAGGAAGTAACCTAGAAAGTGGGCTCTATTTCAGATTCTATATTTTTGCCTTCTCTGGAAGGGTGGCTACTATAAACTGCCACTCAAAAAGGCAGTTTTGTGCTGGCCTTGTGGCTCAGCTGGTTGGAGCAGCGTCCTGATATGCCAAGGTTGTGGGTTCAGTCTCTGGTTGGGGCACACATAAGAAGAAACCAATGAATGTATAAATAAGTAGAACAACAAATTGTTGTTTCTCTCTCCCTCTCAAATCAATCAAAACATTTTTAAAAAGATTTTATTTATTTACTTTTAGAGAGAGGGGAAGGGAGGGAGAAAAAGAAGGAAAGAAACAGCAATGTGTGAGAAATACATTGATCAGTTGCCTCTCACATGCCCCCATCCAGGGACCTGGCTCACAACTTAGGCATGTGCCCTGACTGGGAATCAAACTGATGACCTTTGGGTTTGCAGGCCAGCACTCAGTCCACTGAGCCACACCATCCAGGGCTAAAATCTATAAATAAATCTTTAAAAAAGGAAGGTGGTTTACTTACAAAAACCCTCCTCTTCAAGGAGGCAGATTCCTAGACATAATGCCTATTCTACCCCATCTCCCAACTAGTTTCTTCTACCTTTGAGACAAAAGAGGACAAAATGTACTCTAGAGTAGCTGCAAAAAACAGAATGAAGTAACCAAAAAAGTAATAAAACAATGCCCTTAATTTCTTAAGAGCCTTCTCCTACTCTCAACTTAAAACCCTCAAAATTACTGTTCCCTTCCACATGCAGCCCATGAGCAGTTATCCACAATAAGACATCATGGCTTACTTACAAGAAGTTCAACTAAGCTCTTGGCACCTTTTCCAGAATCGGGACCAAATGATGTTTCTGTAGGTTCTGCAAACTGTGGTACATTTTTCCTATGCTCAAACCAAGGCAGCGGCTGCCCACTCTTTTCAGAGCTACAACAGCTTTCAGGATGTGCATCTTTGGTCTTATCGCGGTGAAACACTGTGTGCACGGTATTTCCTGAGGTCTCTCGAGTACCTGGATCTGTAATACAGCTTCCCAGCTTTTGGATCTGAAACCATAGCAAAAGATTTTCCAGGTAAAAAGGCAGGAATTAAAAAATGCTGACAGTATATTAAATTTTTTAAAAGAATGCTAAATAAAAACAGCAGCTGAAATGTATTAGACACTACATACCAGATGCTATGCTAACCCATTAAGATAATCTCATTTCATCTTCACAGAACCTAATCTGTAGGGACCTTTATCTTCATTTTACAGATGGGAAAACTAAGACCAAGCTAACTGCTTAATACATTTCAAAGAATTACAAAAAGAATAAACTGATTTATGATTCTCATGGATTGTGGACAAACGACCACATTAGACACACAGACAAATCACAAGATGAGCAACCAATGGAACTGCATAAGGTGTCATTCTTCAAAAAAAATAAATAAATCCTAGCAGCTAAACTGCACACTTGCCATTCTAAGTAAAATGGGTTCTTTTTCCCCTACAGCAAAGGCTTAAGAATTGCAAATTATGGCACTTACATGTTCATCACATTTCAACGTCTTGCTTTTCTTTTTCTTCTTTTTATTTTTTCCTTTAGTGGTATTCTCTTCAGAATTTGCCCAACATTCAAC